TCAGGAGACAGAGACACTACACAGTGAGTTCCAGGACAGCTATGTAGCTACATGGTGAAACCCTGGGGCAGAGGGTGGGAGGTGGGGGCTGTAATGTGATCCCAGTGCTGTGATGGCAAAAACAGATGGATCTCTGGGACTGACTGGCTATGGAGTCTTGCTCAAAGTTCAACCAGAGTTCCTGCCTCAAGGGAATAAGATGGGGAACAGGATACCTGAAAGGAACCCTGGTCTCTCTAGGTGCACAGGAACTCGTGTGTGCCCGTAAACACAAACAAACAAAAAAGCCCAGCTAGTGGCACACACCTTTAATTCCAGTACTCAGGAGGCAGAGGCAGGATCTCTGAGTTCAAGTCTAGCTTGATCTATAGAGTGAGTTCCAGGACAGCCAGAACTGCACAGGGAAACCCAGTCTCAAAACAAAACAAAACGTGGGTCTAATCCCATTCCAGGCTGAGGCAGGTGGATTTCTATGAGTTCAAGTCCAGCCATAGTTTTTTTGTTTGTTTTGTTTTTCGAGACAGGGTTTCTCTGTGGTTTTGGAGGCTGTCCTGGAACTAGCTCTTGTAGACCAGGCTAAGACCAGCCAAAGTTAAAAGTTAAAAAAAAAAAGAGAGAGAGAGAGAGAGAGGGAGAGTGAGTTTGTATCCCGAATTTTCCAGTGCTGGCTGGAATCTTGGTTGCTCTCATATAGCACTCAGGAAAAAGTCTGAGGACCCAGGCTATCAGGTGACTTGCCTGAAGAAACACAGGCTAAAGAGAAGCTAGACCTTTGGAATCTGAACTGCCTACACGCTGACCCATCCCACCTGCAAGTCCAGCAGTCAGAAAATCAGGGGTGGTTTCGGAGCCTCTTGGTAAAGTACAGGTGGGTGGGGATTCTGCCCTGGAGCTCACCTGTCCTCTGCTCCTATGCATCTTATACGTCAGGCATGCCCCTGCACCAGTAACTCACACATGCAGCCAACCTCACAGAGCTTTGCAGAGCTGCGGTCTAGACACCTCTAAACACTTGTACTCAAGCCATAGTTCAGGATGGGGTAGCTTAGTGGAGTGCTGACAAAGCACTAGCCCCTGTACCCAGCACAGTGTAAACCAGGCACAGTGATGCACTCGGAAGTAGGAGGATTATCCTTAGCAACCTAGGAAATTGAAAGCCAGAAATCATTCATTTAGATAGGATCATGAGATCCTAAAAAAGAAAGAAAAACAAATCAACCCCAAAAAACACTTTAGTTAACTATCAGGCTAAAGAAGACACTTGTTACTAGCACCAGATATTAGGCCGATGGCTCCTGAAGCAGGAGTAACAGCTGAGTCACTGCAGGGTGCAGCATGAACTACCCACCCTAAGGGCACTGGCCAGCCTGGCTACCCTCCTGGTATTTCTGCAGGACCCCCAGGAAGTGGTTTATCATTCTGCCTTCTATAATAGAGTGGTGTCAGATAACATAGGAGGATCCCTTTCAGGATATGGGGTTCCTTTTAATAGGGGTGTCGTTGTCCCTGCAGACTGATAAGACTTACATTAGTTAGGGCTTTTGTTTATTTAATAGCCCTAGCTGGCCTGAAACTCATTCTATAATCCAAGCCAGCCTCAAACTCAAAGATCCCCTTGTCTCTGCCTCCCTAGTACAGGGATTAAAGGCATGTACCACCACCCAGCTGTTTTTATATTATGTGTGCATTGGTATTTTGCCTGCATGTATGTCTGTGTGATGGTGGCAGAACCCCTAGAACTGAAGTTATAGACAAGTGTGAGCTGCCATATGGGTATTGGGAATTGAATTTGGGTCCTCTGGAAGTTCTCTATTTTTTTTTCTTTTTGAAAGAAGATCTTGGGAGGTGGTGGTACAGGCCTTGAATCCCAACATTTGGGAGGCAGAGGCAGGCCAGTCTTTGAGTTTGAGGGTCTACAGAGCAAGTTTCAGGACAGTCAGGGCTACATAGTGAGACCCTGTCTCAAAAACAAAACAAACAAAAGAAAAAAGTCTCACTATGTAGCTAAACTGGCTTAGAATTCAGTGACCCTCCTGACATTGTGGAATTACAACTATGTATCACCACATCCAGCTGTTCTTGAAGTCTTTTAACAGTCTTACAAACCCTGTGTGTGTGTGTGTGTGTGTGTGTGTGTGTGTGTGTGTGTGTGTGTGTGTGTGTAACAAAAACAAAAAAACCAATAAGGGCTGGAGAGATGGCTCAGTGGCTAAGAGCACTTGTTATGTGAGAACCAAAGTTAGATTTTAATTACTATGCCTAAGAGATCCATGAAACAAAAATGCCTTTGATCTGCAAGCTCCTTGCCCAAGGACAGATAGTTCTTGAAATGCTGGAGGCTATTGTTTATGGGAGATAACAAGTCACATGTTTTTCACTCCCCTAAATAAGTTTGTTTGACCCATCTGCACCTGTGCTTGATCACATGTGGGCGGGAGGTTCACAGGTTGGAGGTACATCAGGGTGTATTCTTGCCTATTCTTGACAAGGAGCTGGATTGACTCCCAGTGCCCACATGGCAGCTAAAACCCATCAGTAATTCCATTTTCCAGGGTACCAGGAGTACCCTTTCTGGCCTCCTAGGGCCCTGCATATGCATGATACACAGCATACATGCAAGCAAAATACACATACATATACATTAGTAATTTTTAAACAAAAGTAAGCAACTAAAAGGTAAAAAGTGAGCCAGGAATGTTGCTTCATGACTGAATCCTCATCTAGTATGCAGGAGGCCTTAGGTTAAATCCCTAATACAGCAAAATTAATAAGATAATTTGTTCTTGTTAATTTAAAGATGGAGAATGCCTAGAAAGAAATGTAAAGTTTCAAGGAGCTGAGAGGGGCACCCAGTAGCCATCAGACAAGGAAATGGAGCTGCTATGTCATTGCCACAGAGGCAAGGAAACAACTTGGGGGGCTAGAGAGATGGCTCAGCAGTTAAGAGCACTGCCTGCTCTTACAGGGGTCCTGAGTTCAATTCTCAGCAGCCACATAGTGGCTCACAACCACCTGTAATGAGATTTGGTGCCCTCTTCTGGCATAACACAAAATAAATATTTAATAAATCTTTAAAAAGAAGAAGGATGAACTTGGAAGTAGATTGTGAAAGTTCTCATTTCTATATCCAGCACCATTAAAAAAAAAAGTACCAAGCCGGATGTGGTGGTGTATGCCTTTAATCCTAGCACTCGGGAGGCAGAGGCAGGTGGATCTTTGTGAGTTCGAGACCAGCCTGGTCTATAAGAGCTAGTTCCAGGACAGGTTCCAAAGCCACAGAGAAATCCTGCCTCGAACCCCTTCCCCCCCAAAAAGTACCAAGATGTTGAAAAACCAAAAAGCTTATGGTTCCATATTAAAGGATAGCGGAGTGCTGAGGAGAAAGCCCAAACAGGGCCCCAACTGGCCAGGGCCCTCCATGCAGACATCTAGAAGAGGACTGTGAATTGAAGAACAGGGTTGCATCAGTAGGGTGGACCTAAATTTGGCAACTTTGTGGTTGTGTAAGGGTATCCTTTTTTTCTTAGGAGATACATGTTGAAAGATTTCATGGTGAAGGGTCATGACCTGTATGCTGGTCTCCAGGAGTTTAGGAAAAAATGTGTGTGAGAGAGCAAGAGAGGAGAAGCAGATGTAAGTTACCTTAGAGTACCAGCTGTCCGTGGTTCAAATAAAGGGTCTGTGCGTGAGAGAGCAAGAGAGGAGAAGCAGATTTAAGTTACCTTAGAGTACCAGCTGTCCGTGGGTTCAAATAAAGGGTCTGTGCGTGTTGATTGTTCTGTTCTTGCAGCATTTTGGAAGGTTTCACAATTGTTGAAAAGAAAAAGCACAGTGGCCTGCACCCAGGTACCCCTCCCCCTACCATGGAGACCCAATTCTGAATCCCCATTGCTCCTAGCTTAAGGAGGACAGGTACCAAGTCCATTTATAGTAAAATGAAAAAAAATTCCCATTCATATAACAGAATACTGTTCAGCTGTAAAAGAATAAGCCAGACCCTAGCAGCGGTGGTACACGCCTTCAATCCCAGCACTCAGGAGGTAGAGACAGGCGGGTTTCTGTGAGTTCAAAGCCATTCTGGTCTACAAAGGGAGTTTCAGGACAGGCTCCAAAGCTACACAGAAATTGTGTCTCAAAAAACAAACAAACAAACAAAAAAAGAACTAGGGTTCCAGAAACCTCAGGGGAACTCGGCCAGGCCCAGCCCCTCCCTGTGTATAAACAGTGACAACCCATTATGTGGTTATTAAAAGAGGACCCATTTTCTCTTCCTTTTCCTTTTCGAGACAGGGTTTCTCTGTGTAGCTTTGGAGCCTGTCCTGGAACTTGCTCTGTAGACCAGGCTGGCCTTGAACTCACAGAGATTCACCTGTCTCTGCCTCCCCAGTGCTGGAATTAAGGGCATGTGCCACCAACACCCAGCTAACGAGGATCCATTTTCAGACCTGCTCAGTGGAGGATGGAATTGTGGTTGGGTACAGTTCAGAGGCGCCAGGAGGGACCCTAAGGAGATGCTGAGCTTGGCTTAGGAAACAGCAGAAGTACAGAAGCAGATTGCCTTGGAGTACTGAACAGGCTCAGCTGAGTACTAGCGTCCCTGGCGGCCCCTGGTGGTGGTTCCAGGGAGTGAGACTTGCAGAAGAGCAAGCTGCCTCCTCCCGGGCGGCCTAGTGTTTGTTCTCAAGGAGCTTTCTCCCCTTTGTGTACGTTTGTGCTCCTGGCCAATTGCCACCCTTCACTGCAGCAAAAGCTGAACTCAAATTCACCTCTCAGGAATCCTTCCTGGTTACGTTCGCCCAATTCTGACTTCCTTCCATACTGGCCAATTCTTTGCTGTGGGAATGTGAGTTACTTGCACATGCTTCTGGGATGCTTGGTTAGCATGATGGTTCCATGTGTGCCATACTGGAAGACAACTGCTGGCACCTAAGGATCTCCTGTCCCCAGGCACTGCCAACCCCACCTCATAATGTCCCTCCCTAAGAATCTCTACTAACACAAAATGAGCATTTATTTATTAAGCAATTCTGTGTTAGTCTCCGAGGCTACAGGAAACAGTCAGTGACTGTCATTTCCAGGGGTCCACAGGTTGTAAAGGAAATAAATGCTGGTGATGAGGTCGGCAGGATCACTAATAAGCCACCTGCACCAGGGAAGTAGGTGGGGCAAGTGACTCAGGCAAGTTTCAGGGGCTCATGCAGGTGTCCTAGAGGCAATCAGGGTTCTGGGAGAGCGGGAGGAGCCAGCAAGAAAAGATGTTCATAGGTTCAGGGTCTGCTGGGGAAAGACACTGGACCAGAGGGAGCTGGGTGTGCTCTGGGTTGAGAAAGTTCCCCAAAGCATTAGAGGCTTTTATGAGCTTGGTACAGACAGATGGAGGAAACCCAGGCCAGGGGCCACCTGCCATCCCTTCCACCGTAAGCCTGGGATGAAGTAAGGGATGGTCTAGTGCCATCTGTTCAGACAGGGCATCTCCAGTACCTCCCATGCCAGTGGGTGTGGAACCAGCCCTGGAAGATGAGTAAACCGAGGACTTTGTTCTCTGGAGGCCTGGACCAGCCAAGGATTAGATAAGCATTCAGATAAGAGTGGGGGGAGAGACAGACACTGCAGGAGCCAGGGAAGGTCCCAGAGCCCGGCCTTAGCCGTGCTGGATGGGAATCCAGGAAAGCTGAGACAATGGGATCAAAGCCACTCAGGTACAGAAAGGGGTGAGAGATGACGTTGGGACTTGGGTCATCCATTTTGTTGTTGCACAGGTCCTCAGAGAAGGTCTTGCGTGGCTTTGGCCAATTCTCATCTTCCTGGAGGCTGCATCTTCATTTCTGAGACAGGCTCAGGAGTGACCTCACCAGGCAGCTGGACCCTTGGTGAGGTTTGTGAATGCCTGGTACACAGAAAGAGGTCTCTTGCCGACTGCTTCATGTCGTTAAACCATTTGACTTTATTCCTGGGTGTGTGTTTCTAAGTTTTTAAGTTTTATTCTTCTAGCTGGCTAGGTGCTAGTATACACATAATCCTAGCATCCAGGCAAAGGCAAAAGGGTAGCTTCAAGTTCCAAGCTAGCATGGGATATACAAAGAGGCCCTGTCCCCACCCCCAAAGATGGGGTGGGGACAGGAAGATGGCTGTGTTTAAGAGAGCACTTGCTGCCCTTCCAAAGGCAGCATGCTTGTCAAGTGGCTCACAGCCATGTGCAGCACTGGCTCCAAGTGACATTCTCTTCTGGTGGCACTGCTTATATGTGATGTGCAGACATAAAAATCTTTTTAAAAGTACTTTATTAACTTTATGTACATTGGTGTGAGTATGCCAGATGCCCTGGAACTGGAGTTACAGACAGGTGTGAACTGTGGGTGCTGGAATAGAACTTGGGACCTCTGGAAGAGCAGCCAGTGCTCTTAATCACTGAGCCCCACAAATCTTTTTAATATATTGTTTTTTTCTGTGTAGCTCTAGCTATCCTGGAAATTGGTCTGTTGACTCGGCTCAAACTCAGAGATCCGCCTGCCAAGCACTTGAATTAAAGGCATGAATACCACTGCCCAACTTAATATATTCATTTTAAATTATATTATTTATTTTTCTCTGTGTGTAGCATGTATGTAGAAGTCAGAGGACAATATATAAAAGAGTCTGTTCTCTCCTTCCACTATGTGGGTACCAGGGATTGAACTCAGGCCTTCAGACTTGGTAGTAAGTGCCTTTATTTACTTGGTTTCTCTGTGAAGCCCTGGCTGTCCTGGAACTCACTCTGTAGGCCATGCTGACCCCTATTTCAGAGATTCACCCATTTCTACTGGCTCAGGGAGGTGAAATTTGCAAGAGAAAGCAAGCGGAGTGAGCTCTGCCCCTACCTTAGAGCTTCTGGCAGAGCAAAATGGAGTCCGTGATGTTTGGCAGGACTTATTGCTGTGTATCTGGGCTTGGGGCTGAATTCATGGGTGGAGTGGATGGACGCACAGCACAAATTGGTAGTGGGAGTCAGTGAATACAGTGCTTTGGGGGAGCCTGGGGGAGGAATGGGAGGTCTTGGAGGCCCAGGTGACACTTAGAATCAGTCAGTTTAAGAAGAACCCTAGCTGAGAATGTACTGGGGTTGGCAGAGTGCCAGCCTAGCATGTCCAGGGCTCAGGCATCAGCACCATGAATAAGCAGGCCTGTGGTTCATGCTTATAATCTTAGCACTTAGGAGGTAGAGGCAGGAAGATTAGAAGTTCCAGGTCACCCTAAACTACATGAGACCCTGTCTGAACTGTTTTCGCACGAGGGCCTGACCCCACCCCTAGCGCCTCAAGGACAAGGCAGCAAATGCTTGGGCTATGCCTGGATAGGGATCAATAGGTGTGGGCCTGGTGCTGTGCACAATAGCACATGCCTATATACCTATAATTCTGGCACTCTGCAAGCAGAGACAGGTTCAAGGCCAGCCTGGTCTACACAGCCAGTTCCCACCAGCAACCAAAAAAAAGAACCTGGCAAATAAGCTGGGGAGAGAACAGCATGCAGAACACACAGGCATGCCATGGTCAGGCAGGCAGTGTTTCAAAGGTGCAAGCAGATGACTGTGGCCTGGAAGGAGTTGGGGCCTTGACATCTTCCTCCCCACACCCACCCTGCTCCTTCAGGTCCTTGTGGCTGGCATTGAGGCGAACATACCTGTGACCTATGGAATTGGCAGCCAGAGAAGAGGCCAGAGCACTGGCTGTCAATTCATAGGTCAGAGCCCTGTGCACTCCATCTTGGCAGCCTGCTGGCGCCCACCCACCCTTTCCTTCCCAGGCCTGAGGATCGCTGCGTCTCTGCTGGTGTGCTGGGTGGCTGTGGCTCCTCTTCCTCCGTGGGTACCAGCCTCCACCCCAGATAACAGCAGCCCCACTGGAACCAGTGGGCACTTCCACATGGAGTTGCTGTTACAGGGGGTGGCAGCCACTGGGGTCAGAGCTCGGTTGCAGGCATCTCCTCTGGCAGGGTCCTGGGATAAGTCCCACAGCTGCGCACCCATCATCCTAGGTCCTCTTGGCTCCATGCCCACACATTTTTATTGAGGCTTCTTATCATTCATCCAAGGCCCACACCTGGCACCCCATAGGACGACAACCTTCTTCCTGGGCGAAGTCCAGGCTCAACCCCAGAGCCTCCTCATCAGACCGGGAGTGGCTCAGATTTACAACTCTCCTGCAGCCTTTGCTCAGAGACACCCACACCCTTTGCCCCCAAGGCCCCTTGTTTCCTCCTAAACCTGAGGCCCAGTTGCAACTTCTGCCCTCCCTCAGGGCTGCAGCCATGGGGCAGAGGGACAGCAAAGGTCAACTGGACTGTAACCTACAAGGGTGGCCCTATCCAGGGAGCTGGGGACGAGGGAAGGAGCGGGAGGAATGAGAGAGGGAATGCGAGGCTGAGGGGCCAAGAGGAAAAGGTGGGAACAGGGAACAAAGCAGACAGGGGAGGAGGCAGGGAAGGACAGGGACCCAGGCTGACACTCAATGGTGGAGTGCTTGGCTTGAGGCCTTAGTTCAATCATCAGCACAGAAAAACAAGGGGACGGGACGTGGTGCTGAGAGCAGGACTATGTGCAGCCAGGCACTGCAAGAATTCAGTACTTTTGCGGTCTAAGCCTGCAAGGGCCTGGGAGCTGTGTGACCTCAGACAAGTAGCTAAACTTCTCTGAAGTACTACAGGCTCCACCTATGAAACCAGGGCTTGGGAGGCCATCTTGCACACTGGTCTGAACTGGCAGGAAGCTGCCTACCCTTCTACCACCCTCCCTGCTGTGACCCAGAGGTCCAGGAACTCATCTACGTTCTCATCCTCAAAAGGATCCAGTGACCGGGGCTGGCGTCTGTCCTGTTGGGACTCAGTGTTCTGGAAAAGGAAGCTTCTAGAGCACCCCATTGTGGCAGTGGTAGCAAAAAGCCCAGAGAAGCAGAGGATGCTATTGCTGGGCAGCTGGCATGGGCCCTGCCCTGTCCTTTGCAGGAATCCCCACTGGGAGGACATTCCTACAAAGGAAGATGCCAGAGTGGACACTCAACCATCTCCCCAGAGCCCGGCAGCCCATCCCAAGGCCTAGGGGAGTCCAGCTTCCTGCTGCATGGCATAAAGCACCAGCAGACAGATATAGGAGCCATTTGGGAATCCTGTCTCCTCAGGGCTGGGATGCTCCAGCCCCCTCACCCAAAGGTATGAGTAAAACTGAGGCCACAGAGCAGAAATGGGTTTCCCAAAAGTCCCCACGCCCACCTTTCTTTTCTTGTTCAGAAGGCTGATGGCCCTGCAGGAAGGCTTGGAGTTGGAGACATCCATGCACAAGCAGCGGGAGTAGCTGGGAGCTCTTACCTTGCACCTAGCTGGCCTTCAGGGCACAAGGAGGAAGTGGGGCCACCCTGGGCCCAGAGGCTTTTGAGCCGTTGGCCCAGCCCTGGTAGTGTTAATGATTAGCCCACTGCCATCAATACTGATCACAAGTGGGGTCCGAAGGGCAGCAGACCTGGACTGTGCCCCAGCTGGTGGGGCGGGTCCAGGAAGTGCCAGACAGGACCTTCAATTACCCAGTGGCAGACCCTGACCACCCATGGGCTTGATCTCTTGACTAGTCTGTGAGTCCCAGCTAACTACATGCAGGCAAAGTGGGGGAAGGGGGGAGTAAGGGACAGGGACAAGTCTCTGTTCAATATTTAGATCTACAATGTGGACCAAAAGACCACAGCTAATTTCATAGGTCATCAGAGATGCCTAGCAAAGTGAGAGACCTCTGGTTCCTAACTTACCCTCAGCCTCCCCACAGACCCACCCAATTCCTGGCAGTACCACCGAGGGTGGAGTCCGTGGGTGGCTTCCTTGTGAACAAGGTATGTGGGATGGGGGCAATGGGCATCAGAATGCCACAGCATTGTCCCAACATGTCTCCCCTTCAAGACCTAGGCACCCCAACAGCCTCTTTGAAGATGGTGGGAACAGCCTCCATAGGGCCTAGGAATCAGCCTTCTACAGAGGGACAGTCCTGAATGCTGTCTCAGCTGGCAGACTAATAGGTGCAGCCTTAGGCCACAATCCAGGGCTTCACAGGAGTAGCCTGAAACTGCTTTGCTCTAACCCAAGAATAAGGCTGGACCTTGGGATCCTACAGGGATAGAAATCAAGAAATGTAGCTTTGATGTGGGCTCCTGGAGCCATTCCTCCTCTGTGACCACCAGGAGACTCCCCCACCAGCTTCACTCAGCAACTGTCACTCAGAAGTAGTGCCAGGGTAATAGGCCCAAGCTAGGTTGGGCCCAAAGTGGAAGAGGTAGGCTGGTTTGCATCAGAAGGCTGAGGGTGGGGTGGGGTGCCCCCTGGTGGCAACAGGAGAGTACTGCGTGCAGAGGTGGGAACTGGTATATAGGCTGGGGCAGGGCAGGCTGGGGCCTCACAGGTACACAGGACCTGGAAGAGGGGCTGGCGGTGGGCAAGTTTATTCCACTTCATGCAGACACTGACCCACACGCTCAGGGATCTTAAAAATACACTGACCCACATGGCATCTGTCCCCCACCTCCCCATGAAACACGGAGAGACACTTGGCTGAGTGGGGTCCAAGGGTCCAAAAGCCTCCATCCTCATTCTGGAACAAGGCAGCAGTGTGGGCCCAGGTAGCAGGGAGGAGCAGCGTCCTTTCTCCCCAGACGAAAGTGCACAGACAGGGCAGAGGTCCCAACGCCGGAGGCCCCACTCTCACGGCTTATTGGCAACAGGCAGGCTGGGCAGGCATCCCTCATAGAGGCCATCCCTTGACGGGCCTGGTGGCCTCGCTGTGGGTCTCAGCTCTCAGAAAACCGGGGAGCTGGTGGCACCACGGTGGCTGCTGGACATGGTGAGCATGTTGGACAGTGGGTAGATCTCGGGTGCCTGCAGTCAGTCCTGGGTCTCCTCCAAGCGCCACTTGAGAGCATGGTCCTTGTGCGCATCTGGTAGGATCTGGTTTCGCATGCCCCCAAGCACATTGGATGTGGCCTCTGTTGCTAGGATTATTGGTTTTACCACTGTTGGGGGCAGCTGTCGGATCACACCCCCTACAGCACCCGTCAGTCCCTTCTGCTCACGGCCCCTTGATGCCACATCACAGATGGTCTGAGCTGTATCCAGGATGCCCTGTGGAGGTCAGAGGTCAGTGAGAGAGTGGGGGTGAGGAGCTGGGAGTGGGACTAGGGTGGTTCTCACCTCTCGGACAGCATCATAAGCCTTGGCCACGCCCTCCCGGAGGTCGGCAGGTTGTTGGCCTCTGCGCAGTTTCCGTGAAGACCGCTTGTCTTGGAGGGAGCGGGAGATGGGAGACGCCGGGGACAGGATGTCATATACTGTCTCAGCTGTAGCCTGAAGGACACCAGAGTTGGAAGATAACAGATGGCCTTTGCCTGGCAGGCAGCCTGGGAGACCTCCTTCAGGGTAACTGTTCCCTGTCCTATTCACTTCACTCCCTGACCTTCCTTTTCCCTGCAGTGGTTCCGATCACTTACCTCAGAGAACTTCCTTCTTAAATTTTCCTTTTATTATTCATTTATTTTTATTTATGTGTGATACCCTGTGAACACAGTGCCTCTAGAGGCCAAAAGAAGACCCAGGATCCTTTGAAGGAACCAAACTCAGGTCTTCTGCAAGAGTAGCAAGCAGCCTTAACTGCTGAGTCATCCCTCTAGCTCTTCAAACCGCTTTCTTATTTAAGGAGGCATTAACAAACCTTTCTTGGGCTGACAATATGGCCCTGAAGGTTAAATTATTTGCTTTGAGGTGGCCTGAATTCAATCCCCCCAGCTCAGAGACCCATATGATAGAGGGAACCGATTCCTCAAAATTGTTCGAATACAAGTCAGGGCACACAAGAGAATAAGGAAATTAAAGAGAAAAAGAAACCTAGGCTCGATGAGCTAGCTCTGTGGGTGAAGGTACTTGCTGCTGGAGAGAACTTTCCTGCTGGCCTCACACCGATGGCTGAGACCTGCCTGAACTGTCTAGTCCCCCAGCTAGAGGGCGGCCCCTATACAGACAGACCATGTACAAGCGCCACCAAACAAGCCCACTGCCAAACCCGATTCTGCCACCCACCCTCTGGCTCCTGTGTTCTGCCCACTCCGTCTTTCCCATCCAAAAGAACCTGTCCACTGCAGACCCCTGGAACTCTGCCCTTCCCTCTCTGGGCTGAGTTCAAAGGTCTCCTGACACAGTGTTCCCACATGCCTAAAGGCTCACCCAGCCCCACCCCACCCTACCCCAAAGGTCAGTAACTTCCCAGAAGACCAGGGCTTTGGTGTGATGGTGGTATGTGCTGGGGAGGCGGGCAGCTCTGGAGCCCAGTAAAATGCGAAACTGGATGGACCAGGGCCAGTTTCTGCGTCTGCTCCTTGTACAGTCACAAATAGTTGTGAGCATGGAAACATGGTGGGCTCTGGTGGCCCAGAACATACTTTTGGCCCCACCCATGGGAGCCAATTGTCATGTGGGCTCTATCTGTGTCCAGCCCTTTCAAGTTCAGCGTTCAGCAGAACTGTGAGGATGGCATCAGGAGCCTGGGGATGAGAGTGTTCTTTCCTGTCCAGCCCTACACTCACCTGGATGGCCTGGACCAGACGGTTGCTCAGTTCCAGAGCAGCAGAGGCTGTGGACGACCCAAAGGAGGCAGCTCCACGCTGCAGCCCCCGAATGAGGCGCCCATCTTTCCTGTACTGCTCAATGGGTAGCCACAGGAGGTCCCGGAACCCTTGGACTAGAGGACAGGATTATCAGAGAGGCCAAGATTGCCCTGGCCTCTCTTCCCTAGCCCTTTCCTAACCCAGTTTCTTTTTTCCTTTTTTAAAAGACAGAATATTGTTAAGTAGCTGTCCCTAGTCTGGCCTAGCCCTCATTTGGGCTGATCTTAAGCTAACAAGCAATCCTCCTGCCTCAGCCTCCCCAGTGCTTGAATTATACAGGTATATGACATAACTCAAGTTCAGGAGTTCTTAGGTTTGATGGCACAAGTCAGGTGTGGTGTCACATGCTACATGAGACTCTGTCTCAAAAAATAAAATAGGGGCCAGTGTCCTTTAACCCAGCACTTGGAAGGCAGAGGCAAGAGGATCTCTGTGAGTTTGAAAACAGCCTGGTTTACATAGTGAGTTCCAGGACAGCCAGGGCTACATAGTGAGACTGCCTCAAAAACGCAATAAAATAAAACCGAAGGGCCAGCAGGTAGAGGTGCTTGCTACCAGGTCTGCTGACCTGAGTTCAACATCCAGGACTTATAGGGTGGAGGGAGAACGGATTTCTGTAAGTACTCTGTGGTGTGCATACATGCAACTGCCCATATACACACACAAAATAAACGCAATTGTTTTAAAAGTATGGTTTTCCCTTGGAACCCCCTCCCACTTTGGGGGAGTTTTCCTTACTTCCCTTCATCTATATTTGTCTGTAAAAAAGCAAACAAGAACAGAGTTCTCAAAGCCAGACACTCACAGAGCTGCACAACTGAGTGCATGGGACCCACGCCTCCCAGCAGGCCAGGCAGCTGATTCTTGCGGATGTCCTGCAGCCACTCATTGAGGGCATAGCCCAGCACCTTGTCCACACCCAGGAGACTGGAAGGGAGAGGCAACAAGGATGAGATAGAGGCAAGTCACACACTGAGAGCCCAGGGACAAGAACTGTGAGCACCCTACCTGTCCCATTGTCTTACCCAGTCATGTGGGGCAACAACAGCCTATGACAAATGAGACACTAAGGCCTGAGAAGAGTAAAGATTTGGCCAAGGCCATGCAACCCATAAGAAATAGCAGAGTGAAGCCTGTAGACCCCACAAGGGGGGTGGGGGTAAGGGCCAGGGCCTCACCCATGCCGGCAGCAAAGCCGCTTGAGCTTCAACTCGGAGCAGTTGAGCTGGGCCAGGCCGATGAGGAGTCCTGTGAAAGTGCCCTATTGGGAGGGGACACAGGGTGTGTGGTTATGCTTGGGATACACACTGTGAATCTTGGTCCCAACCCTGGACTCACAGAGAGTGGCTCACACAGCCTGTCTGATGGTATCACTCACCACCTGGTCTACGGTGACATGCTTGCCATGGTAATCCAGGCAGATGGGCACCTCAGATGTGAAGCGGAACTCTCTGAGAGTGGAAGACAGGAGAGAACCCGTGGTCACCGACCTGGTCACTGACTTAGTTGGCAGACAGCCTGGCCCAGACCCCTCTTCCCTACCTGAAGTAGATGGGCTGTGGGTCAGAGGAGCTGTGGCCACTGCCTGGAGTCTCACGGGGACGACTTGCTGTCTCTGTGCCCTCAGACTTCCCTTCCTGGGGGCTGCTGGGCCGGCTGTGGGTTTCTCGGTGAGCTGGAGGAAGAGAGGTCACAGACCTAGGATGGAACTGGGATGGCTGGGGTGGCCAGTATCTACATTCCCCTCCCTGGCCTGGCCTCTCACCCTCAGCAGAAGCATCTCCTAGGACCATGGGGTTGATGCCAGCTGCTAGGCTGGTAAAAAAGTCCTTGAGGAAGAAGAGGGCATCCTGCAGGAAGAGTTCTGGGTCAGATCCAGGGCTGGAGATGGGGAGGAGCCACGCTGGGTTCTGCCCTTGCCCACCTACTCACCTGGTCCACATTGAGCCTTAGAGGCATCATGGAGACCCGAAGACAGCACTCTGGCCCTCCCAAGCTGCTGGTAGGAGCAACATGCAGCGCTTTGATGGTAAGCTGATGGCAGAGGATAAACTGGGTATCTGCTGGACTCTGTCCTCCAGACACACACAGGCTCAGGAAGGTCTATGGGAACGAGGCTGCCCACACCCAGGCACATTTACCATATTAGAGTGTGAGCGCCTTGGCAGTCGCTCGCTCGTGTGCAAATGAAGGAATTTGTTGATCTTGGAGGTGGCCAGCCGGTCTCGGATCTCTAGCTCTTGAACAATGAGCACCTGGCGGGACAGTGGCCGCTCTTCCAGCTCCTGGCCAGGGCCCCCACCTGTGGCTGACTCTTCTGGGTATACTTCATGTTGGAAGCTCACCTGTGGTGGATGGGGACTGAGTCCGGCCCTGGGGCCCAAGAGGGAAGGGGTCTGGCTGAGCCCTTTTCCTTCCCAGAAACCCTTCCTAATCTTGTCCCACCTCAGGCCCATACTTGGCTGCTAATGCAGCTGAATTACTGCCACCAACCTAGCCACACTAAACTTGACCTGCCCCAATCCATCCAACCTTCCCACAGCCTTTGCTCCACTTGAAGTGGAACACCCACCTTGTCAGACACTCCTGAGGCCCATTCTGAACCTCACTGGTCTCTAAATGTTTTCCTTCTGCCCAGCATGGTCCCTTGTCTCTAAGCCATGTTCCTCACGCAGGGTGCACGCTCTGCTTCCTGTCCTACGGGACCTTGACTCCCCTCCACACTGTCCTTGCTCTTGCTCACTGTGCAGCTGACTGACTCCACGCTCCAGGCCCAGACCTGTCTCATCTTTGAACCTCTGTTATAAAGCCTTTTTTTCTTTCTGGATGCTTCTGGCTCCTACCAGGTCTTCTAGATACAGCCAGGATGCTGTATCCTGAGCCCTCCTAGCTACCAACAGCTTTATACTCTGTCATCTATCACAATGCTTGCTCAGCAAAAAAAGGTTGCTCTAAGAAAACTGGACCCCCTAACACCCTTACGGGCTCTTCCTCATATAACCCGTGGCTCCTGATATCCAATCCTTCTGGAATCCATTATCACATGCCACTATCTGACAGGGTCTCGCTCCCCAGAGCCTCACTTCTGGGTTCACCCCCCACTCAGCCTTGCACTCACTTTGCTGAGCTGGATCTCCATGAGGGCCTGGTGCTGCCGTCCGATGCCACCTTGGGTACGCCAGGAGTTCTGAGGTCGGTTGGGACCAGAGGAACGGGAAGGGGAGACTCTGGGGCCTGTGAAGCCAACTCTTGCTCTGGGAAAAGATATATGAGGACAAGCTAACTCTGAGGAAATATCTGCTCTCCTCAACCTCAGCAGTTCTTTAAGCCTGGGGGAGGAAATCCTCAGCGTCAGGCCAGGGCAAGGAAAAACTCAAGGTCAGATGCATGAGGCTCGAGGCTGCCAGCTGCTGGAGGTCACAGTGAGGCTATGCCCAGATCATAATCCCACCAACTGCTACCCACACGGCTCTAACCTGTGAGTGGGGTGAAGGCCAAAGTCTCTACCCCCATAGAGGTGCCAGATGAAGGAGACCTCCCGTAGTACCACACGGCTGCTGGGCACTGGGAAGTGGGCGGGCGCTCGCAGCAGGTCAGTGCTTCCCAGTGGCTGGGAGAAGTGTCCGTCCCGCACAATGATGGGGCCTGGGTGCAGCTGTGTCACAATGGGCTCCCCATCTCGGGGCTGCCAGGAAATAGTCAACCAAACATGTTGTGACAAGGAGGTGGTCACCACCAGCACCTGCCTCTTTGTCTCCCTTTCCTCTCCCTCTATTTTTAACAATAACAACAACAAAAAATGACCTCCTGAATTCCCAGTCCAGTGCCTGTGTCTGGGTGGTCTGCCCAGAAGAAGCTTTGCTTCTGTTGGCCCTGTTACCTGGAGCTCAGTGAGCTTGGCCATCCCACTAGTCCTTGCAGGCACATGGTGCTCCCTTCTGCTAACTGCCCTTCTTCTTCTATCCCGTCTGTAGAGGATATTTTGTCTCCTCCTCTGGACTTCCATCTGTTCCTTCAAGCCCGGAACCAGGCTGCTTCCCCTACCTAAGAGTTCTAGAAGGGCTGGGCAACCATAACCCCCATCCCAACACACCGCGATGCCTAGGCCAGGGGCGTCAAGGATGCAGAACTCATCACTGTCCAGGGCGTCTCCGTCCCCTTCCTCTTCTTTCTCATATTCCTTTGCCTTAGAACAGGACTCCAAGGTATGAGAAGTGCCCCCAGGAGGAGGCAAAGGGGCCTGGGCCGCACTCCGTTCACCGGGGAAGAGATAGACAGAGACAGGAGAGGCCTGAGGAAGGGGGCCTCCTATGGGAGAGAAGAGGCCATTATGAGGACATGAGACTGAGGGTGCCTGAGGTCTGCTGTCCCCAGGGCACCCTGACCAACCTGATGACTGGGCCAGCTCCCGCAGGCTACGCCGTTCAGTATCCAGAAGGGCATCAGTCAGGTCTCGCTGGTTGATGAGGGCTGTCTCCACTGGAGGGCATGAGGGTAGGGAGGCAGGGCTCTCCGAGAGCTGGGCCAGAAAAGACAAAGGGCAGGAGTGAGCACCAGGAGGGGTAGCACCAGGGCTCCTCCAATCCAGGCCTTGTGTCTGTATAAAGAGAGGGGCCTGGCCGAGCTCTGGTAGCCTGTATGGCCAGGCCTCACCTGTACCTTCTGGCCAGCGATCTCCGTGGGGCTGGGGGGGCCGGGGTGGGGGGTGCAGGTCACCAGAGCTGGTTACGTACTGGAGCAGGTTGACCAGTAGGGCACAGGAGTCGGCACAGCTGTGCACGTGTACCACATTGTTGGAACAGCGCAGCTCGAACAGTGGCTGGCTCTGTGGGTGGTGGACCAGGCATTGGTACAGGAGCTATCACAGGCCAGGCTCCCTATCCCACACCACAGGCTTCTCAGCTCTTCTCCCACACAGACGGAGAGCAAGGGGGAATCTTCTCTTGTCAGCAGAGGCAGTACCTCATTGCCCAAATATGTAGACATCCCAGACAACTGATAAAGGTACCCAGCCACCCACCCCTGCCCCTGACTTCAGCCTAGTGATACAGGAACTGTTATCTCACCATGAAGATGAGAAAAACTGGGACCTACAGTGGATGTCTCCCTGGGTCCCACCTCTGTCCTGCCTGTAGGTGTCCTCTGGTGCCCTCGGTGAGTTGGAAGGACACTCACAGGGACCTGGCCCTTCCCTGAAGGAACACTGTCAAGGCAAGGGCACAATCTATGACCCTCCTGAGGCCTCCTGGACCCCTGGTGCCAGTCACTTACCAGTCTTCCCTCGGTGCTGCCCTTCCAGGTTTTGATCACAAGCTCTAGGAGGTCGATGTCCAGGACACAGACGTAATCTGAGCAGAGGGCAGAAGGTTCTCATGGTCTCCATCCGCCCTGCCCCTGCACTGCCCACCACCAGGGGAAGAATCCAGTGTATCTAGTACAGCTGAGTGCGTGTGTGCATGTACACGCACACATGTGTGGCTAAGAAAGGCGGGGAGCTGTGACACCTGGTTGCTCTCAGTGGATGGGGGCTTGTCCCCTCAGTATTGGAGAGCCCAACTCAGGCTGCCCTGCCTACCTCGCCGAAGATCCAGGGCCTCCACCTCACACTTGTCGGACAGGTACAAAGCAGAGTCATCAAGGATGAACCTGGTGGGGAACAGGGCTGAGAAGGGCCCGGGAGCCACTGCAGGTGGCAGCTCAGCGGCAGCTGGGCAGAGGGGCAGGAGGGGTCCTGGAGATGATGGGCAAAGAGGTTCAAGTGCCTAAGAACCTACAGTGATGAAACCCTGACAGCCTCAGCATTGTCCCTTGATGGTCACAGAGGGCCTGGGAAGACCCTGCAGGTACTTACTCTAATGGGACTTAAGATACTCGAAAACATTTCTAAATCTGCATTAGACTTGGTTCTCAGTGTGTGGAGGGTGCCTCCCTCCTACCCCCCATCATCTGTTCATCCGTCTATCCATCTACTACTAGGGACTGAACACATGGCCTGACCCACATGGGGTCATGGTCTAACCTGAGCTACATACATCTCTTTCTCACTAAGTTGTACAGGCAAGATTCTCCAGCTTCAAAAGGAGCTGGAATCACACACTTACTCCATTAGTATCAGCTTTAAATTTTCTTTTCTTTTTCTTTGTGACAATGGCTTGTGTATGAACCCATTCCTTCCTCTTTGCTAGCTCCTGCTGGGATCACAGGCTTGTGCTACTATGCCCATCCAGCATACTTTTTAAGATATGTAGGCTGGCAACGTAGCTTATTTGGTAGAGCTTTTGGTAGAACACGCATGAAGACCTGGGTTAAATTGCCATCCCCACTAAAATAAAACTTTTTAAAGCTTCCTGTCTGGTGCCTGTGTGGGGCTGCACCTCATGCTGGCTGCATTTGCTCCTGCACTACGTTCTAGCTAGCTTTCCATTCTTCTGTGCGCTTTCAGAACTCCCAGAGTCAAATCCAGGACACGGAGGTTCAAGTCTGAACTTGGGTAGACGTGGAAACAACTCACACTCCTGAGGACATGTGAGAATACAGGGTCCCATCAGTCCAAATACAGATGGCCCCAAGAAGCTCTGAGTAGACAGGCAGCTGGAAGCTAGCCACAGCCCAGCTCGGAGTGGGATGACCCAGGTCTGGGGCAGCCTGCATACCTGAGTAGGAAGGTAGAGGTGTCCATGACAATGTTGCTGGAGAGGGTGAAGGTCTCAGCAGTGATGAGGACTCGCACCGGGAGGTAGAGGGGCCTGAGGGGCAGATTTGGGCTGGAGCAGATTCCTTACATCTGAGCTGGCCCCTGACCCTGTATCCCTAGCCCCCCAATCTGGGTACCTGTAGTCCACAGCACAGGAGAATAGGTGTGTGTGTAGAACAGTGATGACCGTTGGGGGCAGATAGCCCAGCACAGGGTCATCCAGGACATCCAAGAAGTCCAGTAGCTACACAGGCCAGGGTGAGAGATGGGGGAGGACAACAGTGAGGACAAAATGACCTCTTCCTCTAACACTGGCCTCACCCTGCCCATTGTCCATCAGGTGTCCACCACACCCCTTGTCAGGAGCTCTGACCAAGGTCAGCTCCAGTTCAGTCTGTACTTTTCACACTGGCCTTCTCAGCCCGTGTTTGACCTGCTTGCCCAAATCACAAGTCCAGAGCCGCAGGGCCATGTGATTTCCTAGGCACTTTTGCTCACCTGGGAGTGCCAGCTTTGCTCAGGTGGGGCCATGTAGTGGCGCAGGGTGGCTTTGTGTAGCCTTATTGTCACCAAAAACTCCTGGGGAAGGAGGTGCAGTCAGTCAAGAGGGAGGTGGGGGTCCAGCACTAGCGTACACCAAGGAGGCAGTTGCCCAAGTCAAGTGTGCAGGGGAGCAGCAGAAGAATCCATACCTTGACATTCTTGTGGGGGTCCAGGTGGATTCGGACAGCTGCAGACAGCATGGGGGAGCCCTGGCCCTTGCGGCCTAAGGTTCCCCGCTCAGTCACCCCTTCCTCTGATGGGTAGATGGTTAGAGCCAGCTGGGCCGGGGGAGCAAAGCTGGGTAGTTCCAGGTGAGTGGGCAGCAGGTAGTCCTCAACGGCCGCTGAGGAGGAATCCTGTGAGCCCTGTTGAGGCTGCTGACCACCCCACTCACAGCCCACAGCCCTCCTGAAACTTCCCTAGCCCTGCCCCATATGTACTGCAGTAGCCCCACACCTTTATGGTAGAGTGTGGCCTTTTCAGCTTCCAGGCAGAAGTAGCCAAGCCCGGGTTTGCCACAGTACTGGGCGACACTGAAGATGGTTCCCTGCTCCACATCTAGTACCAGTTCCCCGTGAGTGACATCCAGCCGCTTCCCTGACTCATCCTGCAGAAGAGCAAACACATGCTTAGCTTCACTGCTGCACCCAACAGCTAATACCCAGAGACAGGGCCTCCTGGGGTCTACTTCAAGAGTCCACTTCCAGTCTGCGCCATGTGCAGCTAGCTGAAGGAGAAGGACGTGCCCCACCCTGCTGGCATTGGGACCCCCATTCTTACATGGAGGAAAGGCTGGGCAGTGGCTGACATCTGTGAGGGTTGATGGGTGGTACGGGTGGGTACGCAGACTGTGGCAATGGGTGCCACTGGCCCGCTAAGCTTTCTGCTGTCTCGGTTCCTAACTTGAAGTTGGCAGGCTTGTCTGGCTCTATAAGAACTCTAGATCTAGAGTGGGGCTGCCTCACCTTAGCCTCACAGAGCGCAGTGACCCGACCCTTCAGCACTGTCACAAGTGTGGAGAAGGTGCTCTGGGCCTGACGATGGGAAGGCTCGGGGGCAGGAGTATGGGGGGCACCTGATGCCATCGAGAAGAACTGGGTATCTTCTTCATCCGAGTCTGAGTCTGAATGAAGAGGTTGGCCAGGTGGGAAGGAGATATGGAGGGCTGGCCCAGCCCTGCCCGTACCTGGACTCCTCCCCGTCTATCCAGCATTCCTCTCGTACCCAGCTTGAAGGCCGACTTGCACATCCTGAACCCTAATGAGCCAGGCAGCCGAGCGGCAGTGGTGGACTTGGGAAGCAGATCTGCAGGCTCCCACATGAGCAAGTCATTGTTGATCCTGACGTGGGAGCAGCAGCAGAGGTAAGAGAGGACAGGGCCCTCAGCCTAGCCCAGCCCAGCCCGGCCCGGCCCATGTCTCCACCTGTTGTAGATGCTTTCGTAGACCTCCTTGCTTGGCAGGAAGATGTGGGCACTGGGCATGATCACATCCAGGGTACAGCGGGACATCGCCAACGTTCGGCTCTGGAATGTCCTCATCTCCTCGGGATCTCCAGGGATCACCATCTAGGCAGGTGAGGAAAGTCAGCCAGGAGACCTGCCCCAGGGCTGACTCTGGCTTCAGAATTGGAGACTCTAGCATCCATCCATGCCCCCATCCCCTGGTGCCCTCTCTCCCAAGGTGGAGGACGTTCACTGGGACACAGTGGCCAAGCATTCCCTCATGAATGTGAATCTTGGCAGTCCTCACTCACAATAGCCTTCAAGACAATTCCAGAGGAAACACACAAGCCACCAAGGAGCAGGGCCTGTCCAGGTGGTCCTGCCTGGCTCTCCACCGCCTCACACTAGTACTGTCCCCACCAACTTCAGAAGAGGATGCTGAGGCCCAAGCGCACCACTGGTGTTAGACCCGGGCAAGGGTGGATGCTTCAGAGTCCCTTGTTAGCCAACAGGAGATGCTGCTCAGTAGTGGGCCCCGGCTATGTACGGCCCAGTCCCGGTGGCATCCCCTGTGGAGAAGTCGGGAGCCTCACCTCCTCAGTCTCATACATGGTCCGCTTGGAGGAGAAAGGTGAGGGCTCAGGCTGCCGCAGTTCGCAGGGACTCTCAGTGGACAGTTCTAGGTCCTGACCTTTCTCAGAGGCTGTCTCCCACTGTGTGCCGCTGGACTGGGGGTTCAGGGTCACCACTACCCTGCCAGGACACAGGCCTGTTAGTGGCCTGCCACTAAAACCAGCAGACCCCCTCCTCTCCAGCTGCCCCTTCCAGAACTCCTCTTACTGAGGTAGAAAGTACTTGGTCCCAGTGCTCCTGGGATCCAGAGCTTTAGAGACTCGCAGGCAGGGGACAGGTGGCTTCTCTCCATCTTCGTAGAACCCTGGAGGGGACGGAGAGGACAGGGTCTCACTGCTGCCTCTTTTCTTCCTCCCCATTGCTGGGTCAGGTCAGTGTCCCTGGCATAAATGGGTCTCTCTGCCTGTGCTGGGGTCTGCTCCAACTGTAACCCAGACCCTTCTGTAGTAACCTCAAACCCACCTCCCCAAGAGGCTCAGACCTCTGCCCCAGCTGTTCCTGGCCACTCTTACCTTGCAGATCTGAGCAGGTAAGTTCTAGGCGGGTGGGAGCTGGGGGGCCAGGTCCACTGTTGAGCTCTGAATGGAACTGGGGCTCACTCAGTTCCAATCGCAGCTGCTCAGCCCTCACAGCCTGGCCGGCCCAGGGATCCCGCTCAGGCCGTAAATCTGGGATGGGGAAGCGTAGCCTCAGGGTAGCCCGGGGTGCTGAGAGCCGAAACACTGTCTGCTGCTCGGTGGCCTGTGGGGGCTCTGTCTGTGGAAGGGCTGGGGGTCAGAGCTGTCACAGGGGACTGAATGGAGCTTAAGTGCCAGCTTCCCACCCCAGCCCAGAACCAGCAGGGCAGCTCACTAGCAGGCCAGCAGGTGGCTCAGAGGGTGTGGTGGTTTGACGAAGCAAGGCAGCAAGTCGGTCCAGGGACCCCAGCTCCACGTCAGCTTGGAAGTCAGCTAGGTTCAGGGACAGTTCTGAATGGCAATGGCAGGCAACTGATCGCCGGGACCGGCTCTAGTTGGGGGTAAGGTGATTAGGACAGCTGTGGTTAAGTGAGGTCAGGGTAGGAAGGGGCTCCCACAAACTGAAACAAAGTTCCGAGGCTTCTCAAGGGTGGGAGAGGAATTGGGATAAGAGCCACAGCAGTGAGCCGGGTGTAGGTGGCACACGCCTTTAATCCCAGCACTCAGGAGGCAGAGGCAGGTGGATCTCTGCGAGTTCGAGGCCAGCCTGGTCTACCGAGTGAGTTCCAGGACAGCCTCCAAAACAATACAGAGAAACCCTGTCTCGAAAAACCAAAACCAAAAAAAAGAGAGCCACAGCAGTGGACAGAAGGGGCTTTAAACACCTGCAAACAAACAAACAAACAAACCATGGAACACTTTATAACTTTGCATGTGATCTTTGTATGGGGCACCCCAGCTCCTTTTTAATGTTGAGACAGGACCTCATTAAGTTGACTGGACTGGCCTTGAATTGTAGCTCAGGCAGGTCTCCAACTTGTCACCTTCTGCCTTAGCTTTCCAAATGCTGGGAAGACAAGTCTGTGCCATTACACCCAGATCATGCTAGCTTATACAAAAGCTACCAGCACTCTTTGTCAACCTTGAGGTTCAACATAGGCAGGGAAGGGGAAATCAGGCCAGAGTAATAGCAAGGTCAGAACGAGAACAGATCTACAAGAGCCCCTGAAGAGAGAGGTAGTGTGGCTGGGGCAGGGAGTGCTTACCTTGAGCACCCGGCGCAGGGTCTGTGTGTGGCGCAGGTGGGCACAGGGTCGAGCTGAGGTTTGGGAGCCCGAGTGACTGGGGAAGCTCAGGATCTACGAGGGGACACACAGGGCAAACAAGGTCAGGCTGGCCTAATGCCCGTCTGACCCCCAGGCCCTTCGTCTGCCCTCACCTCTGTGTACTCTGGCTCTGAGGTGGCCCTGGGCCACAGGCACTCCAGCACCTCCAGCTGCCCGAAGTGCACTTCTGTGCTGCCTGTCCTCCGACTGTGCCCACCAGTCCGCAGCTCCCAGGACAGCTGCACAGCTGTGCCTGTTAGTCTGTGGGCAAGAATTCAAGCTTCAGGGGTGAGTTGTGGGCCCTGGGTGTTCCCTGAAGGTCCCTGACTCAGACTGTGGCGTGTACCGGACATGGCTACAAGGGCAGGCCCTTTGGAAGCGTGGCCGGAGGTGGTGGAAGTCTCTCGAGCCGAAGGGCCCATCTTTGGCAGCATCAAACTCGGCAAAAAAGTGGGTGGCGAGGTCAGGTGGTCCTGAAGATGGGGCAGCTGTCTGAAGCAAGGTCAGGGTCACACCTCCCAAGGTCATCTTCAGCAGTGAGTCAGGGCGCATGGTGTCTGGAAGAGGAGCTGGGGCCGTCTTGCCTGGGGAAATAGAGGCTCCAATAGGGACTGCCCCTGAGTATCTTAAATGGAGTCACAGGTTGCCACTGAGCAGAGGGTTGGGGAAATCCTGGCTAGGCTGGGCATCATGGCACACACCTGTAATCCCAGCACTCAGAAGGCAAAGTCAGGCAATCAGGCAGATCTCTGTGATTTCAAGTTCAGCCTGGTCTATATAGGGAATTCCAGGCCAACCAGGGCTATATAAGTGAGACCTTGTCTAGAATGAGGAGGAGGAGGAGGAACAGGAAGAAGGGGAGGAGGAAGATGAGGAGGAGGAGGAGGAGGAGGAGGAAGAAAAACTGGCTAAACTAGACTATAGGAGGCCAAATCTGTTGTATCACGTGTGTCTGGAAGGGCTGACACCTGATTTGTCTTGTATGCCAGGCCCTCTTACCAGGCTCAATCTAATCCTCTGAAGGTGCTAGAAGGAGCAGTTGATGTGAAGACCTATAGCAGTCTTTGACCTACACACTCAACTACCAGCTAAAACACACAGCCTGATCTTCACTATGCCCTTGTGTAGAAAGGGGAACTGAGTCCAAAGAGCTGGAGTTCCTGGCCAAAGCACTCACTAAGAAACAGACTACGGGCTAGAGAGATGGCTCAGCAGTTAAGAACACTGGCTGCTGGGGCTGGAAAGATGGCTCAGAGGTTAGGTCCTGAGTTCAATTCCCAGCAACCACATGGTGGCTCACAACCATCTGTAATGAGACCTGGTGCCCTCTTCTGGCCAGCAGACATAGAACTCTGTATACATAATAAATAAATTTATAAAAAAAAAAAAAAGAACATTGGCTGCTTTTCCAGAGGTCGTGAGTTCAATTCCCAGCAACCACATGGTAGCTCACAGTCATCTATAATAAGATCTGATGTCCTCTTCTGGCATGCAGGCATACATGCAGACAGAGCATTCACATACAAAATACAAACTAAGTAAATTTAAAAGAAAAGAAGATGACCAGGTGTTGGTGGCGCATGCCTTTAATCCCAGTACTCAGGAGGCAGAGGCAGGGGGATCTCTGTGAGTTCGAGACTAGCCTGGTCTACAAGAGCTAGTTCCAGGACAGCCTCCAAAGCCACAGAGAAACCCTGTCTCAGGAAAAAAAAATTAAAGAAAGAGAGAGAGAGAGAGAGAGAGAAAGGAAGGAAGGAAGGAAGGAAGGAAGGAAGGAAGGAAGGAAGGAAGAAACTTAAGATTGTGCATATTATGTCACTTGTTTCCACTAAGTTAGGAGCCTGGGGAGCCGCACTGATGGGTGAATCTATAGGCATCATTGAGACCTCTTGCATAAATCTGACACCCCACCATCCTGAGGCTCCTCCTGCCCCATCTTGACCATGGAACCTAATGGGTCGACTTACCACCTGAATGTGTTGGGGTAGAGGGCCGGTGGAAGGCCATGTTACTGTGAGCAGAGGAGCCCAGGTCTACGCTGTACATGGAGAGCTCAGAGACAGCCGAGGTCACACTGCTTGTGAGGCCAGCCATGGAGAAGAAGAGGTCTGGGGGTAAGGTGAGGGGCAGTCAGGAATAGATAGCCTGGGCCCCCTGGCTCTTACACTGACACAAACTGCCCCTTCAATCTGCAAGAGCCTGGCACCCACCAGTGCTGTCCACAGTGAGGGGATTGGAGATGGGGTGTAGGCTGAGGGACTCAGCCACGGCACCCGCCTGCAGCTGCTGGCTCAGATCCTGCTCAATGAGCCACAGGTCTTCAGCGCCCAGTGGACGGCTCTTGCTTAGCTTGTCAGCCAGGCCTCCTGTGTCTGTAGGAAAGATATTTCAATATAGCCTACAAGGTTATCCTTAGCCCAGCCCACTGCCCCCCCATGCCACCCAGTGCCCAGCAGCCTCACCTGCAAAGTGGATGGCACTGAGTAGTTCTTGAAGCTGCTGGAGCTGGCGTGGGGTCAAGAGCAGGTGCAGGGAGCCCAGCTGTCCTGATACCTCCAACTGGGGACCAAATGGACAGCTGTGGAGCCCTTACATGCCACCTAGCCCAAGAACAGCAACCTACCTACCCATACCCCGGGGAGGTGGGATACCAGCTGCAATTCCAAACTTGCTATCAAGCAGCTGCATCGATTAGGCCAACCTGATCTTTCAGAGTCTCTGTTTTTTCAGTTGCCAAGAAGACAGCAACACTTTCCCCCATCCTCACAACAAGAACTGAAATTAAGTTGGGTGGTGGTGGCACACACCTTTGATCCCAGTACTCAGGAGGCAAAGGCAGACAGATCTCTGTGAGTTCGAGATCAGCCTGGTCTACAAGAGCTAGTTCCAGGACAGTCTCCAAAGTTAGAGAAACCCTGTCTCGAAAACCCCCCCTCCAAAAAAAAGAGGGGCTGGAGAGATGGTTCAGTAGTTAAGATCACTGGCTGCTCTTCCAGAGGACCTGGGTTCAAATCCCAGCACCCACATGGTAGCCCAGAACCGTCCATAATGAGATCTGATGCTTTTGTCTGTCTGGCCTGCAGGCATGCATGCAGACAGAACACTGTATATATCATAAATAAAAAAATAAATCTTAAAAAAAAAAGAAAAACAAAACAGAAAACCTGGAATTATTCTGTAGTTGAGGCTGGGTTAGCCTTGTGTCAGGTTCTCAAATGTTGGGATTACAGGTATGAACCACGCACTATACCTGGCTCCTCCTCCTGGCCTGGGAATGGATCTAGGATGGGTCAAACTCTTAGGCCTAGGACTCACCTTGGGGCCCGGGAAGGCATCGTTCTGCTTCAGCTTCACCATTAGCTCCATGTACCCTGTGCAGCTGCCAATCTGCAAAGGGGGTTTAGGCGGGTCCACCTGGGAGGGCAGCTCCTCAAAGTGCAGGCGAACCCCTGTCAGCTGCAGGAGCTTGTGCAGAAAGGCTGGCGGCTGGTGCACGTCCACAGGCGGTGCCTGGCTTGGGTCCCGAACGGCTTCATCACAGTACTCCAGTCTGGGGAGTGAAGGGTCTGCCTCGCCTAGATACCCCAGGCCAGAAGCCCCTCTTAAAAATGTTCTGGGGACATGCTGCTTCAGAGCGACTCACTTTAGGCTGTACCTCCTGGCCCTAGGTACCAGTGCAGGCTCCCAGCAGCACCCATTCCCCAGTCTCACCAAGCCTGCCCTAACCTGCCACTTCTTCGGAGCCTGGCTAGGAAAGAGGGTAGAGGCATTTATCCTCCCCCATTTCCCTGTATTCCTTACCTCTGCACCCGGATCTCCACAGCCACACCGTGTTCCACATCACCCACTGAATGCTCCACCCTCACAACAGTGTTCAGAAAGGTCACCTTGATCCTCCGAAGCACTGTGGGAGTGTTTAGAGTTAGGTGGCGAAGCGGGAAGCAAGACATGTCCCTGCCACTCTGGGAAGCAAGGTGGCCCTTGCTACTGTCTAGGACCCTGAGCTACAGACTGTGGAGGGCCCAGGAACAGACTAGCAGCAGGGGCCTGCTCACCAGTCTCAATGGTTTGTGCAAACATTTCCAGCCCCTCCAGGGGCTGAGGTGGTTCTGAGGGTTCAGGCGGCCCTTCACGCAGGCACTCTTGGGCCAGCTGCAGGCTCGTGGTCATGCACGAGGACCAGCTCTGGGAATCAGCAGCCCCTGGTCCTGAGGGAAGGAACAGGGCTCAGGGTAGAAAGGCCCAGGCCGGTCCCAGGCCATTCCCAGACTTTCCACCCTTGGGGTTGCCCTGCCCTCACCTGGTCCCTGGCGGGGCTGCAAGATCAGCTGGAGGCCTGACACACATACAGTACAGTGGTCAGTGAGGAGCGCCGCCCAGGGGACAGCCACCTCGATGGAACTCACGAAGCCTTCCACCAGTTCCAGTGGTGACTCCATCGACCTCAGGACTTCGTTCACAGACTGGGCAAAAGGCAAGGAAAGTCAGCTCACTGAAACTCCAGATATGGTTACCTGCCACAGTCTTGTAAGCCATTGTCTTGAAGAACACCTTGGCATGATCACCCTTGGCATGACCTGTTATCATCTCACCATCAAACTGCTCAACCCTTTGGGCCAGCTAAAAAGTTTCCTTCTGTTAGGTACAAAATTCCATTTACTGCTGGGCATGGTGGCCGGCATGCCCTTTTCTGTTTGTTTTTCTTTTTTGGTTTTTTCCAGACAGGATTTCTCTGTGGCTTTGGAGGCTGTCCTGGAACTTGCTCTGTAGACCAGGCTGGCCTCGAACTCAGAGAGCCACCTGCCTCTGCCTCCTAAGTGCTGGGATTAAAGGCATGCACCACCAACGACCAGCTTTTGTTTGTTTTTTGAAACAGGGTTTTTTTTTTTCAAGTGAGAAGTTTTATTACAAAGGGAAAGTGAGGGCGGAAAAGTCCTGTCTGCCCCCGGGGAACCACGTGGGAAAGAGAAAGGGAGGGGAAGAGCATAAGAAGAGAGCAGGAAAGAGCGAAAGAGGGTTTTTCTGCAGGTTTGGAGACTATCCTGGGACTCTCTGAAGACCGGGTTGGCCTTGAACTCACAGTGATCCGACTACCTCTTCCTCCCAAGCGCTGGGATTAAAGGCATGCACCACCAACGACCAGTGGCCAGTATGCCTTTAATCACAGCACTCAGGAGACAGAGGTAGGTGAATCTTCTCAAGATCTAGGCCAGCCTGGTCTACAGTTGGTTGAGTGCTTGCCTTAAGTACTGGGTCCCATCTCTAGCATAGTGAAGCTGAGTATGGCAAGATCACCTGTAATTCTAGCACTAGGGAAGCAGACGCTGGAAGATAAGGAGTTAAAGGCTATTCATTTTGAGCTAGAAGTCAGCCTGGGCTACATGAAACTCTGCATACTTTCTATGAAGCAACCAGAGGCTGCAGGGCTAGGTAATAAATGCCTTTACCTCTCAGGCTGTCTGGGCTGTAGCCAGGTTGAGTTGCAGAAGAGAACAAGCACCAGAAGGGGAGAACAGAGCCTGTGTCTAACCCAGCAGGGCACACCAAGGAAGGGGCAGTTGAAGTATGAAGCAGCCAGGCAGAGGGAATAGGGTGGTGGCTTATTCCAGGCACAAGAACAAGGAGGGACCTAGTCAAGGGGGCAGCAAGCAAAGAGTTCCAGGGTGTAATATCCGGAGGAGGGTTCACTGCAGTCCACATAGGCCCTGAGTCCTAGACCCATGGGGGAGCTGTACATGTCTTTGAGACATAGGATAGAAATGTCTGTGTTGTGGTTGCATCCCTGCCAGCCTGAGAGCTCCTAAGGGCATGAGTCACTGGCCTTCTCCCTATTACCCCAGGTGCTCTGGGTGGTACCTCAGTAAACATCCCCTGGGCCTATGAATAAATAAACACAACCAGAGCCAGGAGGCAAGAGATTGACTCAAAATTTCTCATCCATGGATGGGGAAACTGAGGCCTAGACTAAGTCACTGCAGGTACAATGAAAACTGAGACTGGGACCCAGGCCTTGCTTGCCCTGTGCATGTGGTCTCCTTGAAGGCCTTCTAGGTAGGGGCTGTAAGGCGGATAGCTGAGAGGGGGTTGGGGCCTGTGATGCCAGGAGAGGCCAGAAAGCAGCCAGTGCCATGACTCCCCAGAAAAGGAGCATGAAAGAGAAGTGGGATCTCTTTCAGGGCAGCCTAAGAGGCTGAAGGAAGAGGTCAGTGGCCTCCTATTTGTCCCCAAGGCACAGTCCACCTCTAGCACTTTCTGAGTGGCGGTGCAAACCCAGAGGTCAGCTAAAAAAGAGAAAGCCTGCCACATGCCCACTCCACAGTTCTGGAGCTGGAGGGATGACCCCATACCAGCCCCAAGCTGTAGCCTCTAATTGATGGCTCCTTGGCTACTCCGTCATCTGAGCTGTGAGTCAGTGCCCTCATCTGCCACCCCAGCCTCCAGCCCCTGAATACACTCTTAGGCCTCAGACCTTCTAAGCACCATCTTCCAGAATCTCATCCCACCCTCCACGCCCATCCCCAGCCTGCCCGGACACCTCCCTGGAGGGCTGCCCTGCAGGTGCAGATGCCGGGAATCAAATCCCTCCCCAAGCCAAGCTAGGTCCCTCCCACTCTCCCAAAAGCAGGAAGTAGAGAGCAACAGCAGTCACACGAGGTGCAGATCAACACAGCAGGCAGTGACGCTGTTGTTGACATCCACATCCGGGGGAGATCGCCACCCTTTATGCCCAGGATCATAGGGGTCAGGAGGTCAGGATACGTTTTCTACAGGTGCCCCCGGCAGTGCTCTTAACGCCCCCCAAAGCCTCTCCTGACTAACTACCTCAGTTCCAACTCTGTCACAATCTTTAGGACACCCCCACTCAGTTTTTCTCGGCTCCTCTCCTTAACTCTCGGGAATCCCCTTCCCCAATCTCCTAAATCCATATGATAATCGTGGCATTATCTTGGCAAGTGACACCCACTTCCCAACCTGTTTCTCCCTTGAAGAGCAAAAAAAAAAAAAAAGGACTCTTAATTTCTGGTTAAAGAAGGGCCAACCAGGGGGCCTGGCGGAGGCGGTCGGGACCCACTGGCCTCTCCAAACAGTGCCTGTCCTCCAGGCCAAACCCTCCGCGAGGACCCATCCGGTGGCCGTGCTCCCCTCCGCATCATCCCGGCTCTCCTCCTCACCCAGGTCTCCAGGTGAATATCCCGCAGGGCAACGCTGCCCTTGTACAGATCCAGGCTGAGCTGGTCTAGGCTGAGGTGCTCCTGGAAGAAGTGACCCAAGTAGTGCTGTAGCAAGTAGCGGCAGACACGCTCTTTCACACAGTTCGACCATGGCCACAGCCATCGTGACATCTCGGGGACCGCCGGGCCCGGGCCGCTTCCTCTAGCCGCCAGCCGGCGACCTCTGTCCGGCTGCGTTGTTCACTAGAGCCCCTGGTTCGCCCCGCCGCTTCTCTCAGCGCCAGGCCGCGCCCCCGGACGCCCAACCACGCCCCCACGCTCAGAGTCATTGGTCATTGCAATGGGCGAGGCCCGATGATTGGCCGCAGGAGACGGAGCTTTGAGGAGCGAAAAAAGGACTGGGCTCCCTGCGAGATAAAGTGCTCCCAATCATAGTTTACGCTTGCGCATAAATTCTGTGTGGGAGGACCTTTAACCTCCTTGCTACAAACTGCAGGAAGGCTGTAACCGAAAGGCGACTATCAGGCCGGGAGGAGTACGCATGTGCGGATTTGTCCAACTTTAGGTGACTGGAAAGAATTTAAAGGGACAGTGACCCACATAACTTTGTAGACCGCTGATTAGAGGAGTAAAGTCAGTGTGAAATTCTGCAGCGTGAATTTTGGCAACAAATACACACTTGCAGTTTATAAAACTTCCTTAACCGTTTATCTCATTCAGTCTTATTAACAGCTCCATATAGAGGGACTTTTTTGTTTGTTTATTGAGACAGGGTTTATGTAGTACTGGCTGTCCTGGAACTGACTCCGGAAAGCTGCAGGAGGCGTGTGCCACCACGCGCGACCCCCCACCCCCACCCCATCCCAAGAAATTACTTTTCCCAAAGCCTGACATTTAGACAAGAGCCAGCATTTCCTCAGGGACTTATCTCTGGCAAAAGGGACATATGGCTCCTCCATTAATAATATGCTCCTGGTGCCTATTAGCATATCAAGGTCTCTGCTGGCCTCCAGGTTCCCTCAGTCCCTACTCACAAGCTCGGGTTACATTACAGAATCACCCTGACTGGCATACCCTGTCCCCTAAACCTCTCCAGCCCAGGGGCTTCGCTCCTCCTCTCCCCATCTGATTCCTAAATAAGTCTTCCTCCCCTCCCCTCCCCTCCTCTCCCTTCTCCTCCCCTCCCCTCTCCTTCTCTCCCCTCCCCTTCCCCTTCTCTCCTCTCACGGCCAGGTTCAGTCTACTTCATTCTCTCCCTGCTCTGGACTCCCAGAAGATACCTCTGGCTGCTCTCTTCCTCACATCTACAATAAAACCCTTCTCCTCAACCATACCTTGGAGTGGTCATGTCTTCATTTTCATTCAGTTTACTGTTTTTCACATTTTAAGGGCTAGAAAATAGAATTATGAAGGTTGCTCAGTAAATCACCAGGAAGGTGTGTTGTGTCCCCCCTCACTGATGAATGCACAGCAGAGGATTAAAGACCCTCCCCTCTGCAGTCCTTGGGGCCCTCTCTGAAATAATAGCTTTTCATAGCTCTAATCCTAAAATCAACAATTCAACTTCCCCAAAGCAAGGATCTGTTGTTTCCTACAGCCTGGAGGCTATGACTTGGAAGCTTTTGTTTCCCTATTCTTATTTTGAGTCTAGGTCTCACTGTGTGTTACTGGCTGGTGTGGAACTCACCATGTAGACGAAGCTGATCTCAAATGTGTGATGATCCTCCTGCCTCTTGGACTGTTCTGTTCTGTTCTTTCTTTTCTTTTCTTTTTTTTTTTTTTTTTTTTTTGGTTTTTCGAGACAGGGTTTCTCTATATAGTTTTGGAGGCTGTCCTTGAACTTGTTCTGTAGACGAGACTGGCCTTGAACTCACAGAGATCCACCTGCCTCTGCCTCCCGAGTGCTGGGATTAAAGGCGTGCACCACCAACGCCCATGTTCTGTTCCTAAACGGCTGGGGAGAAATGGAAGAACGAATAACAGCTCATGATGTGGAAAAAAAGTCTCTCAAAATTCACTTCAGTTCTCATACACTATTAGTTGAGCACAGGCTAGCTCACTAGCTAAATGGAGTCTAGGCTGCTCTCCTGATATAGTGGCAGAGCTTGGGAATTAAGATTGGGTCAGGGGCCACCTCCCTTCTATGGAGATGGCCCCTGAACCTTTTCCATAGTGAGAGACATAAAGATGACCATTCGTAATTGAGATTCTGTTCTAGCTTTGAGAGTTTTGTGGGGATCACAGACCCTGGCCAGAAACCCACCCCTCCATCAGCCTGGGAGCCGGCAGCTGCGAGATAATGTTTACTGAAAACAATTCAGTGCCATAAAGCTCTTGATAGGACTCTGATAAGGGCTCGCTCACTGAAACACCATGACTTTGATCCCCCCTATGGCTAGATGCTTCTTCCTGCTCCCTGCTGTTTCTCCCCGATTCTGGAGAATTAACGACCAGCCAGGAGGGTGAGAAGTCTGTGAGAGCTGTGAGAGGTGTGTGAGAGCTCCGTTGGAGAATTGTGTGTGTATGGATGGCAGAAGTCTTTAAAAAGGGAAGCGTTTTTTCTTGGGGAGTTCTCCTAAGTTGACTTGGGAAGCATAAAGTTTTCTTAAAGCAACCGACCGGTCTCTGTGTCATCTATCCCGACCACCTGGCTACATTCTCGGATGCAGGCTGCTCAGCAGGTGCGACAAGTTTGGCTCTCAGAATAGTGCTAAAAACCAGCTTGAAGGAGTCTCACAAAAGGCTTGTGGGAGATGAGAGGAGGGCTGCAGAAGTCTCTCAGTTGGTGCAGGGCTTGCCTAGCAGGCATGCAGCCCTCCCTGGGTCCACATGCTGCCTTATGACTCAATACTCCCAGAGTTTGGGAGATGAGGGCAGGAGGATCAGATGTTCAAGGCCATCCTCCACTAGACTACCTCCAGGCTAGTCTGGGCTGTGGGAGATACTTTCTCTTTTTTTTTTTTTTTTTTGTTTGTTTTTTGAGACAGGGTTTCTTTGTATTGTTTTGGAGGCTGTCCTGGAACTCTCTCTGTAGACCAGGCTGGCCTCGAACTCAACAGTGATCCGCCTGCCTCTGCCTCCCAAGTGCTGGGATTAAAGGCATGTGCCACCAACGCCCGGCTGGGAGACACTTTCTTAAAAACCAACAAACAAACCAGGCATGGTGGTGCACTAGGGAGGCAGAGGCAGGTGGATCTCTGAATTGGATGGCAACCTGGAACTACGGAGTGAGTTCCAGGGCAGCCAGGGCTACACAGAGAAGCCCTGTCTCAGAAAAAAACAAACTTCCTAGAAGCAAGCATGAACAAAACTCATGGCCTGTGACAGAAACCTGGCTTCCTCTCAGTTCTTGGTAGCCTTGGCAAATTATTAATCTCTGAGCTTTAAGACCAGGTCTCACAGCTAGGGCTGGTCTCAAATGTGTGCTCAAAGCTAGCCTTGAACTCCTAATCTCCTCTGCTGGTATTTCAGACATGCTCCTTCAGGCTCAATGTGAGATTCTGTTTTATTTTACTTATCTATTATTTGCTTGTTTGGTTTTTCTTTTGTGTTGGGGATTGAACCCAGGTCCTTGTACACACTAAACAAACACTCCCACTGAACTATATCCCCTGATTAGCCTTTCTTTTTCTGAGACAGGGTCTCTCTGTGTAACAGCCATGGCTGTCCTGGAACTCACTCTGTAAACCGGGGTGGCCTCGAATTTATAGAGATCCGCCTGCCTCTGCCTCTCAAATACTGGGATTAAAGGCATGCGCCACCAAAGCCCCGCACCTTTCTTTCTTATGTTAACACCTCCACCTTTATGCTAGAATGGCACCAGGGCACCTCACTATGTGGAAGGGGCTTCAAAGAGCCTCCAAGAGAATTGGGAAACTCTGTGAAGGCCCCATTCAAAGAGACAGATCAATGGGGAGTAGCCATTTTGAAAATATTTGTAGACTGAATCAAGGGATCTGTCTTTTCTTGACAGGCCTGAGCAGGTGTAATAGTAACAGGTGGACAAAATGTGGGCTAGGAATGTAGTTCAATCGGTAGAGCACTTGCTTGGTTAGCATGGAGCCCTGGGTTTGACCCCCATCATTACATAATGTGGGCATGGTGATGCCAGATTTGTTATCTCAGCCCTGGGAGGCAGAGGCAGAAGGGTCAGAAGTTCAAGACAACCCTTTGAAACATAACAAGGCTAAGGCAAGTCTGGGCTATCTGAGACCATTTCTTTAAAAAAAAATTAACTGCTAATAGTAGAACAGGTGAAGTAGTTCACACCTGAAATCCTAGCAATTGGGAAAGAAAGAGGATGGCTGTAACTTAAAAGCCAGCCTGGGCTACAGAGGAAAAACCCAAACTGGTTGTCCTGTGCCTTTGATCCTAGTACTCAGGAGGGAGAAGCAAGTGGGGGCTCTGTTGATCCCAGGCTGGCCGGGCTTACATATTGAGTCCAGGAAAGCCAGAGCTACAATTTGGGCATGTGCAGGGCATGATGGCACATACCTTTAATCCCAGGACTCAGGAGGCAGACAGATCTCTGTGAGTTCGAGGCCAGCTTTGTCTGCATAATGAGTTCCAGTCTACACAGTGAGACCTTGTCGCAAAATTGTAAAGAACAGCCAAAATGTAAAAATATCACCCACCAGCACTCAGGAGGCAGAGGCAGGCGGATCTCTGTGAGTTCGAGGCCAGCCTGGTCTACAAGAGCTAGTTCCAGGACAGCCTCCAAAGCCACAGAGAAACCCTGTCTTGGAAAAGCAACCAAACAAACAACAACAAAACCCAAAGAATCCCCCAAACCCCCTCTTCCACTAGTTTAAGTACTGCCTTGTTCAGGGCCCTGCATTCCATGGTCAGTTTCTCAGTCATCTTAGCCTGAAGAGCACACTTGTGGAGGGTACTGATGCCAACTGATGCCTGGTCCTGCTTTGGAAGACAGACTGCCACCATGGACAAGTGTCCTCCTGTCTGGGACCTGGGTCCTTATTGGGAGCAAGGGGAGGGACGCCCTATTGTGACCCTCAGAGGCGGGCCGGGTAGCAGTTGAGTGCAAAGGAAGTACTGGCTGGCTCTCCATCGAAGCGGTCCCAGATTGTAGCCCAACTGAACTGTGATGGTTGACCCAGGCCTCTGCTTTCCGTTGCTCTATAGATGGGCACCTCTTGTGTACACAGGCTTCTTCTGCAGCACGAAGTGATCATTAGGGCCCGAAGCTGGGTGGGGCCGAAAAGCAACCCAGTTCCCCTGACCTCATTGTCCAGCCTCATTGCTCTCCCCTGCTGCTCAGCATGGACCAGTTAGTCACCCGGACAAACTCCGGGGTGAAGACCTCACAGTCATTGTGGGGCACAGAGTGTTGGAGTCCAGGTCCTATGAAGGGGGCCCAGTTTTGAAGGCTGAGAACTTTTGCCCCAAATGCCAAACTCCTGGAATACAATTGAACCTTCGCTACCTAGCAACGGGGTTTTTTATCAAG